TATTTATATATAAAAATGTTCTGCATTTGCTCTTTGTACGATCTATTTTTAACTATTCACTTATTTTTCCTCTTTCTCTCTCTCTCTCTCTCATTGCCGCTCTCTCTATGACTTCTATTTCCTTGTCTCGATCTATAGCTATTCACTTTGACATTTGTCTTCTTTCTCAATTTTTCTCTATATGTACTTATTTTTCTGAAAGAGAGAGAGAGATTTTCTCTAATTTCTCCCCTCTCTCTCTCTCTCCCTTTTTTTCATTGGCTTAATATATCGCTACTAATATATTGAGATACATATATAAATCTCACTCTCTTTCCAATTTTCTCTCTTTAAACGAGAAGGAGTATTTTTGCTCTCTCTCTCTTTCTCTCTCTACATCTCTTTCATTATGTATATCTCTCCTGTTTTCTATCTCATTTTCTCTTTATCTATTCGCCTTTTCCTTATATTTTTATCTTTCTATCTGTCTCTCTCTTCTATCTCTATCTCTTTTTCTTTCTGTCCCCAATTTTCCTTTGCTCATCGCCTCTCTCTCTCTGTCTCTCTCTCGTTCTGTTTTTCAATATCCCTTTCTTTTTGTTTCTCTGTCTTCCTACCTTTCTCTTTCGTAATTCCAGCCCCATTTTCTATTGTAAATCCCTTTCCCGATTACAGATTGATCGTAATATTTACAACAATACCTATGACAGCAACAGCAACAGCAACAGCAACAGCAACAACAACAACAACAACATCAACAACAAAACAGTTCATTTACATTTGCCAACTCATTCGATTAAATAACAAGACTTGAAATAATGCCAATTGTTTTTTTGCCTCCATTTGTTTGCTTATTATTTTTCCTACTACAACTATTGGATATATGTACATGCATACTTACATATTTATATGTATATATGTATATGTGCAAATTACGAACAAATCGAGGGCGAATCGATTTAATAATAAATCCACAATTCGCTGGCTCAATCTATTCGCATCTTATGAAATTGATACTCCATACCCCCCCCCCCCTTGCTCAGGCCCTCCTCCTCCACCGATTTCCCATCAGCCGCCTTCTTCCCGTTCCCTCCTCCTCCTGCTCTACTGTTGCTGCCATACAAGCCGAGCGCGCCTTATTAACCCTTTGTTAACAGCAACACAATAACCGTTAATTGCACTAACGGGCACTAACGGGTTAACACTGGGCAAATGCAGTCAAAGGTCTGCTGACTTTTGAATATACTTACTTAAATGTGAGGTATATAGATGTGTATAATTGTACATGTGTATATGTATGTGTGTGTGACTGAGGAGAAACATACAAAAGTACATATGTATATGCACTATGTAATTATCCTATATATTTATATACAAATTAAAAATGATATACAGTAGAATCCGGCTATAACGACTCCGCTTATAGCGTCCGTACGGTTATAGCGACGAAAATTCTGGTCCCCAGACAAACTTTTATGAGCAAACCTTTACGATTATTACGCCTTCTTCTAATCTAATCTTAATGATTAACCCAATACAACATCTCAAGTTAAATAATAATAATAAATTACAATCTGAATATTCGTTTCAAATTGTTATCAAAATTTTGAGTTTATAACTTTGTTTATTTTTTACCCAATTTATTTGTAATACTGTATTTGAATGACCGCTGCTGTGTGCATTCAAGTCTGCATAGGCAAACACGACGATGTAACTGTTATGCTCGGCACCTAAAACGAAGTGCAGCGCACTAAGTTATGTTACGCAATTCTCGCTGGCCACACAGACAGCAACACCAACACCAACACCAACAATAACAGCAGCCAGCAGCAACGGCAAACAGTGTTGCAATAGTTAACAATGTAACGGTAATCGGCAAGACGAAGGCAAGCACAATGCAGACAGCAACAACAACAGCAAACACGACGACGATGACGACGTAGCTTAGCCGAAGCACGAAGCCCGCAGCCCGAATGCAATCAATGAATGGTAAGCTTACGAGCAGCTTGAGCTTTGCCTTTTACTTTCAATCACACATGTTGCCAGCAGCAACAGCAGCAGCAGCAACAACAACAACAACAGCAGCAGCAAAAGCCCAAATCATGTTTTGCATTTTTGTTTTTATACCAAAAATTGTTCAATCAAACGCTGCGCGCGCGCGCCTTCGCTGTGACAACATAAATACATACACATATACATACACGCATGCTCTGCCTTGCCTAAGTACCTCCTCACACACACACACACACACACACACGCATGCTCTGCCTTGCCTAAGTACCTGCGCACACACACTCACACGCACGCATGCTTTGCCTTGCCTAAGTACCTGCGCACACACACACATGTATTAGCGTCCGCATAGCCTCTGCCCCTGGCGACCCCTTTTAATTGCCCAGTTACCCACCCACCGCACATTGCGAATACCCCCCCCCCCCTCTCCCTGCGCTATACCACTGTGCTGCTCGGCAACAAAATTCAAATACGAAACGCCAAAAAATAAAGCTTTGCAAAACTTTTGTTATTGCTGTCGCCGCGATCGCTGCTGCGGGCGGCGCTGCTGCCGCTGCGCTACGGCCAATGTTGGTGGTGGTGCTGCTGCTGCTTCTTCTTCTTGAGCGCGGTATAAATCTTTTCAGTTGAGTTTGGAACGCGTAACCGTTAAAACGTGCAGCGGAATTTCAAGTGTCGCGCTGTTGAATTCAAATTGAAACGTTGTCGTTGCCGTTGTCATTGCCATTGTTGTTTTTGTTGTTGTTATTATTTTTGTTTATTTTTTTTTTTCTCAAATCAATTGATTTTTTTTTGTCGCCTGCTTGCCATTCTCGGCTGTTGCTGTTACCGTTAGCCACGTTTTCGTCTTCGCCGCCAACATGCAACGCGCACAACTAAGCTGCGTCCTGATCCTGGCATTCATTGCTTACGGTAAGTGGCCGCCATTTTGTTATCGTTACAGCTACAGCTAGCTGTGCAACCTGTGCAGTTGTCACTGGAATGCGAGCTGGCATGTGCATATTTGGCATTAGCGCAACCCCCTTCCATAGCGTGCTAAGCCCTGAGCTGAGCTTTTACTTTCAAAAACGAATTGTACGCCAATTGGAATGGCAACATTTTCTAATTGGGTTATTGGCTTGTTGTTCTCGAATTGGATTGGGTCTACTGTCTACTGTTGGTTGGACAGCTTCAAGGCTATGCCAAAGACTTGCCTCCCATTCGCCTTTCTGCTCCAATTAGCCAGCCAGCAGCAGTAGCAGCCGCAGCTCGTTGTCATTTAACCCTGAACAGCTTGGCTTACTGCTAACAGTGGGCAGAAGCCAGGGGGGAGGGAGTGTTTAAATACGCCCCATTACAGCTACGGTAGCTACCTAGAATTCTCAAGCTCATTTGGCATGCAGATCCAGTATTCCACTAGCTGATCGTTTATAACTTTTGCTTTTGTTGAGCCAGTTGCTGTCTGCTGTGGCTAGATGACTGAGAGATACACTTAGAGAAATGTTGCTTAGAGTTGGAACTGAATCCAAAAATAGCTGAAATGCATTACGAAAATTACATCTCCATTTAAAGCTGCTTAAATACAATATATAATTAAAGCATTCAAGTGGTTGTCGTGTACACTGAGTCAATTTTTGTTGCAAAATATTGTGGGCAATTTGAGTTTAAGCGCAGCTCAGTTTCATTATTTATAATCATATATTAAATAAATAAAACAAAGTAATTTACACTGAGAGAAAGTGTGCTTAAGTTTAAAATTTGTGCTGGATTTGGTGCTTTAGATCAAGCGGAAACATCACTCAAAGCAATAAATTCTAGAGCTCCATGGAGCTCTGTTAGTTTATTATCTATTTGCAAGTTAAATACACTGTAAAAAAAAAAAAAAACAAAAAAACAATTTAAACTGTGGCACTTATTATTATTATTATTAATGCACAATACAAAATTAAGTAAAACCGAATTTATAGTATATAATTTATTTTTTAGTTTATAAATTCTGAATTTACATCGCAAAACTGGGAAAAAAAATACATTTCAAAAAATTAATGAATGATTAAGCGAAACGGCTAAAGAATTTCTCTTAGTACACTGAACAAAAAAA